GATTGAAGAAATGTGCCGATTTTTTTGGTTGATTTTAATTGCTTAAATCATTAAAAGGCAACCCTTCCCGGAAAAATCATAAAAGGATAAAGGATAAAGCATTTGCCGTTGATCAATCCCTTTTTGGGATGCGGCACGCATTCTACTTCCATTTGTACATTCGTAGTGGCGTTTGAATGCGATGTGGCCTATACAATGACTTGCGGGGCCAGCCGATGTACAAGTCAGTGTTTTTATCCTCCCAGACAAGTCTGGTACCAATTAACCGACCCCGGAGGGATGGAAGGCTTGGTTGGCCCGGGCGACTCACGACCCAGGATTTGATCCCCGGACCGCTCGCGTGGTAAGCGTGCCACTTGCCACTACACCACTTCCGCCAACGAAAAAACCATGTCTCTATTTCTTTCGTAGTAAATCACTGGTTTGAGACCTATCGTTCATGATAAGAACGAAAAGAGCAAAAAAATCGCATTTGTTTTGGTAAACAATTCGAAAGACTGAAAGGAGTAGGCTTACTCCGTTATGAAGCGTGTAGCCCTTTGATACAGCAGTCAAGAAAAGCGTCAGTGTAGGAGCTTATTCACGTCAACAATTATGCGAAAGGGGGTTGGAGTCTTGTGCAGAAACCGTTGAGATTTCGTCTGTCTCAAACCGTTACGGACTGCCTTCAAACCAAGCAGATATTTCTTTGTGCAACCCGTCAGCCCAATTCATAGCTCGCGACTTCTTCAAGATGACCACTCGGGATGAAAGCAACACTAAGCCAGGCTAAGCTCACGGGAGAAGTAATTCTGGGTGCGCAAGCAGTCTTCATTTTTCCCGGCGTTCCTTCCATCCAATAGGCTTACCGTCAGCCTTAAAGACCGTTGCCACTGCGTCGCCACGACTACGTGACTCTTAAAGGAAGCAGTCACGGAAATTCCTATGGAGACGATAGGGAAAGTGACATAGTGGATTGGGTAGGGTCCTACCCAATGGGAGACGACAGGTGACGCTTCAGGGCAGTGGCGCCTTATCAACGGCGTGATAAGGCGCCGAAATTACAGTCGATATCTCGAAGTCTGATTGGGCGTGTCACCGGAAATGACGTGGCAGCCACCGCACTTGATAGATGTTGTGTGGATAAAATACTCCGCCAGATATCAGCAAAGCGTGCTTGGAAGCAGCTTATCCGCGCAAAGCAACCGTATCTTATCTAATCGTATCTTATCTTCCATAGGGTTATGCTCGTCCAACCACTGTCTATCTCCGACCTTATCGGTTGATAACGCGGAGTTCGCGATCCACGTGGAAACCAGCGTGATCGCTTCCTTTAGGTCTTTCCTTCATTTTCTCATACGTAATGGTTTGAGCACAGACGATTAGGGAGGGCGCTTGGCTTGGCACCGTATTCCAAACAATAAGGTGAGAGCTATAAGGCTAAGCCTTGGAGTGGGGAGGGCTCCTGGGTGGTGCCAATAACAGTGTGGCAAAAGTACGAATGTGCATCACAGCAATCATGAGCCGTTGTTCAGGCGAGAGAGCGTAGGTGATAGCATCAAATTGAGGTGGTTCGAACAAAGTTGAAATAGCCCGTAAACGCGCCGCCGCGTAACTCCTCCCAGATACTGTGGCATCTGATTCCCCCGAGAGCGCGAGGACAAGCCAAGTGCCATCGCGTGGCCCCCTCTAAGGCAGGGTCAAATGCCCGTACTATTCGAACGAGGGGTCGCATTTGTGATTTCGGGAAGGGGGTCGCATTTTGGGGTTGAGCAAGGTTATCATAGTGGGAACGGAGGTTGACGGAGGTCGTCAAAGGGGTTGTGTTTGGACGGGTTTTTTTAACGAATTTGGTGAAATGTATTTGATGAAAGTTTTATGAAAGTATTGAAAATTGAGTTAGCTGGTCTCAGAATCAAATACTATAGCATGATGGGGATCGTATTGGGGGATATTGGAGGAGTCCCTATGAGTGATGGTGGTGATGGGGGGTGCGAACGTGACTGCTTGACCCTGCTCCAAGGCAGCGTTCGTAGTTCACGATTTGTGCTGTCGATTGGGCGATCACCCTAAAGAGATGCATTAGTATTGATCGAACTCATAATTACATGATAGCCGTTCCGTTTCAAAATCGATACGTATCTTCTCATTTCGGTGGAATCGCTAAGTCGCGCAAGTCGCAAGCTGTGAACTCAGAAACAAGCTTTGAAAGTTCACACCTTGTGGACAGTTTACAGAAACCTAGGTGGCGCGGAACGGTCGCAGCAATGAAATATGTAGTGGTGCGGCCAGGTATTAGGCCGATGTCAGACTTTGCGAATCGAGCGTTTCGCTGGCCGCGACGCGAGTGCGGTCGCTACCAAATCGCTCGATTCACAAAATCTGACATCGTTCTAAGAGGCGCATTAGCGGAATTGAATTTAACCTTCAGAATAGAGAAAATAGAGTGAGCAGGCTCAATGTGGCTATGGGGGAAGGGGTGGGGCAACGCGTAACGAGGGGTGACGCGTCAGATTCGCGGAAACGCTCAGTTCTGGGACTGAGCTTTAGACCAAATAGGGTATCCGAGGTGCGTAAGAAATTCTCATTCTCTAGTAATTCATCTCTCTTTATAGGCTTGGCCCAAGTGGCCTTCTTGCTGACTGCCTTCCCCCTTCCCCCTGCGTAGGCACATTGCGCCGGCAAACGTTCAAAAGCAATAAATGAGGATGAAACGGAAAATTGAAATATTTTTGCCACATAAGATGAGGGCAGAAATAATGCTTAGTGACACGAGAATTAAATAACAAGCGTCACAGCCGCCAACATTTGTGACAGTTACGCGCTTAAATATGTGCACGCAAATTTTCTTGATTTTTTCGGGTCATTCTCAAAGTAAGCGCAGTTTACTTGATCTTTCCTTGAAGGATCGTTCTTGAGTCACTAGTTTGTGGGTGGCAGAACCAAGCAATTCCCGTGCAGTTGTGACCCTACGACCACTTTAACCCATTCGTGACAATGGCAGCCACCGGTGGCTGCCAAAGATCTCACTCGGGCAATGGTATCCACCGGTGGCTGCCGTGTTTCAAATGGAATTTGGAAAGTTTTCTTTCCTGAAAAGAATCTTCATACCCTCATTCATCTACGCCAGCCCTGGGCAGGGGAAATCTCCATCCACTCAAATTTTATTGAAGAAAAATCTCCTGACTCTCCTGCTATTGCGCAATCCCGCGCGGTCGCGACTGGGTTAAACGTCTGCCTTCGCGACGACTCAGCCCGTGAAATTTTTGCAACTCAGTGTGAGGGTGAACCTTCTTGAAGCAGTACTCTTTCTCTTTCAGGCTCTACACAATGTATGTGGACAGGAAAAGGCTATGCGTAATATGCGGAGACTCTCGTGACGAGCGAGAGATGAGGAGTGCATCTGCGACAAAAGTGCAGAATGCGATCCTGCTAGCGTGTTTGTCAGCATGTGGTGGGCTCAAGAAAACCGTGGACGCGAAGACCGTCTATGATGAGTGCCACGTGAACAGGCGATTCCTATGTCATCCGCATTATGTTCTCGCGGTAAGTGGGTTGTGAATTTGATAAAATTCTATAGAACGTAAGCATGCGCTCTCCAATGGCAAGACATGTCATAATGAAGACTTCAGTTAAACGTGGGCGCGGCAACGTCGACTTGGGCGGGGCAGGTGAAGACTGTCGTTCTCCTCCTGGGGTCAGGTCACCACAGTTGCGCGATCATTGAAGCTTAAAGGCATGCCCCAGGATCACATTGGTGTGGCTCTTGTACACGAATGCGAATGTATCGGTGCCAAGTGGGCCGGCAGTGAAGAAAAAAGGAAAAGAATCCGTCAAAACGCTCAGGTTGAGGGCTCACTCACCTTCCTAATCGGCTGTGCTTAGGGAATGAGACACTAAGCGCGGAGAGGAGAGTATGGGGCGAGAGAGCGCTACAGATGAGAGAGAGAGATGAGAGATCGCCAGACAACAGTCTGATAAGAGAAAAAAGGCTGCAGCTTGGGCAGCTTACTTTGCAAGGCCCAAGCGCTCTTATCGGTTGGTTCCCTTACAAGAGAACGCCACATTTGTGGTTGTCCTCTGGTGTCTACAAATCGCAAAGAAGCGTTCACACCTGGGTTGTGACTTTAAGGTAAGTTTGGTTAGACTTAGGTTAAGGCTTTATGCTTACACATTGGCTTATGCCTAAGCCTATGATTGGGCCTTGGCTTAGTCCTAAGCTTGCTCCGAGCGAATGAACGGCGTCTCAATTTTAGGTGACCTGACCCCAGGAGGAGAAACGCTACGCACCCGGGGAGGTGCAGCCACGTAACATTACGTCAGATTCATGGAAGCGCTCAATTTTAGGACCAACCATAAGCCTCAGATCAGAAAAGGCTTCGAGGTGCGTAAGCAATTCTCATTCTCTCCGAAGCTCACTCCTCTCCGTTAGACTCAGTTAGTCCTGGATGCATTCCTACAGCTGCCCCCCCCCCCCCCGAGGCACATTGCACTCTCCGTGTGGCACATAGAGTTTATTGATGAGCATGATTTGACGACGGTAATGAAGGTATTGACTTGAGGTTTTCGCCACACATTTTTCTGAGGCTGCAATTACGAAATATCCTGCTTCGTGAAACATAAATGCTTCTTTATCCAAGAATTTATTTATTCAAATATTTACTTTCGTTCAATTCACGCTTAATATTGAATTCACGCGGGGAAGTATTGTGATTCTCCCCTGCTCGTCCCTTTTTTCTTCCTTGTAAACTTGAAGCTCTTTGTTGGAACTTTCAGAAGTTCAATATGTTTTTAATATTTTTTCTCAAGCGATTTCATGAATTTTGAGCTATTTTTCAGGCGCAATTCATAGCGGCTGAGATGGAGTCGGTCGGAAAGCAGTTCCAGCATTTTGAAGATCCGCAGGCTTCTGGCAGCACGGCATATGTGGGGATGAGCGAAATTCCGTCTCATGTTGTGAAATTTGTGAACGATTTCATGTCTGCAGCAAATGCAAGTTCCTCTTCCTGTGAAAGTCACGATTAGTCGTCATCAAGGAATTCATTAGTTACGACTTTTCAGATCAACGGCACTGTTACAGCAAGGGATGTTTGTCATTTTATGAGCGTTGCTCTCCGACGTTACCATGCCACTCCGTTGTGGCCGTTAGAGACCGGTGAAGCTTCTGCCGGCCAGCTCACGAACTCAGACAGCGATACTGCCTCATGTTCTGTGACTTCTATAAGTGGGACTGATTCGACGAGCAGGCCCTCAAGCTCTCACTACGATATCACTCCATACATAGAATATGTTGGAGGTGATGAGGGCATTGTGAACACCAGGTACGAACTTACTTTAGTAGGGTTGCCCAAGAGCCTAGAGGATGAATTCACGATAATAACGAAGGTCAGAAGAAGGGGAAAATTGCATAGTTGGGAGACAGGCGGACCTCCTGAGGGTGCTGACCGACGCGCAATTGGCAGCGAAAGATTTGACCTCGGCGATCTAGCATGGCTCACTCTTGGCGCGGTTGGCGGGGTACGCCCACCGACTATCTAATCGCCGCAGGTCTATACGTGGCGAGTGATTAGATAGCAGAGAGAGCGTAGTGTTGAAGAGGGCACAACGATGAGAGTCGCATCAATGCAAGAAGGGGTTCCATTTTTCGGGTTCCGGGCGATTTCAAATGGTTTCTTCTTCATCTCTGCTCCACTGACCACCTGCTCTATCCTTATTTCCAATTAGCTAACTTTTCATCATGAATTCTGTCTTTAATCCAGTTTTGAAGTGAATCGTGTAACATATTTTCTATGAAGCGATTCGTCTGGCTGCGGGCTTTGTCACGGAATACGCTTTTTACCTGCGAAACGATCACCTAAGAATCAGTGTTCCGGTTTGGGATGTAGGGTAGTCGGCAAATGTTAGGAAGCACAGTCTAGGTCATTTGAAAGCCCATTTCTGGGCGTGGGCGAAGCATGCGACTGAAACTTAGGCAGCTGCGAGCGCGCATTGACTTTCACTGAGAATAGCGGTGGGGGAAATGGATGAAAGATGCATACCGTGTCGAATTCGGGTCGTATTCAGAAGGAGCCCACCCGCCTTTTCTGAGAGGGCAGTACTTGTTTAAAAACTTCATGGCTTGGTTATAAGATAGTTTATGACACGAAGAAAAAAAATTGCTATAAATATCAATTTTATAAGTTGTTTCAAAGCACACGAAGTGAGCAGACGTTCACCTACAACTATTGCAAGAGTCTGTTCAGCGTGTGAGGATTTTTTGAATCTCCAAACTCTGGTTTCTTACAAGCTGAGAGCTGGTGAAGAATGGGTAGAGACTAACGGAGGTTTAGCTGTTGGCGGACGCGGAGCGTCCACCTGAAGTGAGCGGTATTTTCTCCGAGGCTTGAAAGCCATTCCCGAGACTGCACAGTAACCGGGGATAAGTGGATAAAGGCTGACGAGGTGGATGGAGGCTGGTCCGCATGAGCGCCAGCTGTTACTCTCCCTCGTTAAAGGAAGTGGTTCCGATTCTCATAGGGACGATAAGGAAAGCTGTGTACTGGAGTGGATAGGGGTCCTGCCCAATGTTAGAACACGTGAAGTTTCAGTGGCAGTGGCGCCTTATCAACGGAGTGATAAGGCGCCGAAATCCACTTCCGTTCAGCAAAAACCAAGACTTATCGATGTGGAAAGGGGTGCGATAAGAGCGTGCTAGATATGATACCGTTATCGTTATCGTCCCGTTTTCATTCCTTAAAGGGAAGCGATCACGCTGGCTTCCACGCTGGATTTGCTACCCTCGCGTTATCAATCGATAAGGTGTGAGGCAGTAATTGTTGGACGAGTGTAAGCCCATGGAAGATATGATACGATGAGATAAGAAGGTGCGGCTGCTTGATAAGAGGTGCACTCCAGAATGAAAACGGGACGATAACGATAACGGTATCATATCTAGCACGCTCTTATCGCACCCCTTTCCACATCGATAAGTCTTGGTTTTTGCTGAACGGAAGTGGATTTCGGCGCCTTATCACTCCGTTGATAAGGCGCCACTGCCACTGAAACTTCACGTGTTCTAACATTGGGCAGGACCCCTATCCACTCCAATACACAGCTTTCCTTATCGTTCCCATGAGAATTATCGTGACCACTTCCTTTAATCAACTTCAAAGTCGTGCCAAGCAAACGTATTCTTTTATCTTATCGCAATTTCCAAGGGGCTAAGCTCGTCCTACCGCACTTTATCACATCCTTGAATTAACAACCCCAGATTGAATTGGTGGGGTAATAGCGGTTAATCATGAAGGTGTAGACGCCAAGTTGACTGGAAATGAAAAAAAAGTAAAGGGAACGGCCCATGTGGCCCTGAACAAGGTCTCTTTCTTCCTATTAGAGATGAAGATGGGGAAGTGGCGTGTCCGGACGAGTTTTTCGAACACAGCCGCATTAATGCGATGCGTGTATCACATCTCTTCAGCCTATTGGCTGACTTATCCACTACGTCGTAGACTTCTTTACGTGCCGGTCTACACGCAATCGCACAGGCCCACAACTAATCCCGCGATCTCTACGGTTATCGAAGGGGCGTGCCGGCCAGTGGGCGGACGGACCAGCGTTTAGCGCCGTGATATCGTCCTTCAGAGGACCTTCTGTATTTGCTACTTTGCTACATTTGCTAATTTCTCACCCAAAGCGCGTGCATCTTTTGAATATTAGTAGCATCTGGATGGGCCCATTCCGGGGTCGTTGTGGTGGGGTTAAGAATGCAAATGAATGATAAGGAGGGAGGAGTGCTGGCGAATTGGTTTCCACGCCTTATCTGAACTCAGATAAAGGTACAAACTCGGTAATAAATCTTTAAGGTGAAAACATCGAGAGAGTAGAAGACTTCGCGGTACTTGGGGATGGAGCCGGCGGTTGACCGGAGCGAAGGCCAGACAGTAGAAATCCGGATAAATGTGGCATGGATGAAATGAAAGAATTTCACTGGCATCCTTTGCAGTCGACGGTGCTTCAACACGCTGAAAGTGGAGGTATACCATACATTGGTGCTCCAAACTCTCTGCAAAGCTCTACGGCAGCGACTGCTCGCCCCTGATGCAGCTTCACTCTGCTAAAATGAGGATGCTGAGATGGGCCTGCGGTTGGACGCGACTGGACAGGGTCAGAAACGAGGATGTCAGAGCGGTCATGCAGACTGCCTCACCAACTGGAGGTGCAGGAACAGTGGCTGCAGTAGGTACGAACACGCGCTCAGAATCCCACGCTATCATCTCTAGAGGAAGCACTAGATTGCAAAGTTCGCAGCAAGCGATCGTGAGGTCTCCCATTGAAGAGGCGGAGAGACGCATAAGGACCTTACGGAAGGCAAGGTCAAACGGAGGATGTCTTGGACGGAATGTGGCGACGTCTAACAAGGACAGCGGGCCCTGCGACGGCACGGAAACACTATGGAGATGAAGAAGCAATGTTCATAGCCATCGTTGAGCCACTAGCTAGTCAAATTATTTCTTCCACTTTTGGCAATCTGACGAATTTGTGACGGTACCATATAGGTACCGTCACAAATTTGCCAGAGAATAATGAACCATATTAACAATCGGTATTTACATTTGACGTGCTTTCATATCTTTGCAGTGGTAAATTTGATTAATTTCGTTTCCTAGTGTGGCGAAACGTGTTTCGTTAGTATAGGTTAATTCTTTTAGGCCTTACGTGATAGAAGTGGAAAAGAAACAAACGGGTTGCGTGATATGTGCAGCTCAACATGCGGCTGATGGATTCAGAACTTCATCTACATCAAAAGTGCAGAATGCGATCATAATAGCGAGTTTGTTGGCAAGTGGATACAATATGAAAATGAATGTGAAGGCTACTTACGACAATTGCAATGCGAGCAGAAAGAACATGTGTCATCGTCACTATGTCGCGGCGGTGAGTTGGGTTATTTTCGTGGTAGTGGAGATCTTAGAATTGCTGGTTTTGCTACTGTGTACAATTGAAATGAAATTAGAATTTTGGGCACTATTGCACTATTACAACCCCAGAGGGGGCCGAGATGGGTCAAAAAATAATTTTCGCTGAAACTTCTGCTATGGGGGTTATCGAGGGTCCTGATCACGAATATGACATCCATTTTTGGCGCTGGCGCCAAATTGGCGCCATTTGGCGCCAGCTGGCGCCACTACTGATTATCACCAAATTCGCTGTAAACTTCTGAATAGGGGTTATTTGGGGCCCTGATCACGAATATGACACGTTTTTGACATTCGTGCTGTTTAACGCATATTTTCTGCTTTTCTAAGCTTTCTCACCTAGGCGCCTACGACTAAGCTTAGGGGAGGGGTGAAACTCCGGAGTGGGTAAACCACGCACCGTGTGGCAAAAGTTGGAGTGTGTTAGACCACAGGGGAGTGCCCTACTCACTTTGGAGCCCTCCACTATTCAAAGGCTTAGTCCTGATTGCGATCTAATTAGTGCGAGGGCGCAGACGAGCAGGAAATAGGCGCCGAATAGCGCTAACAACAAAAACGAATGTCATATTCGTAATCAGGACCCCAAATAACCCCTATACAGAAGTTTACAGCGAATTTAGTGGGAATCAGTCGTGGCGCCACCTGGCGCCAACGCCCGAATATCATATTCGCGATCAGGGCCCTCGATAACCCCCCCCCCCATAGCCGAAGTTTATCTCACCCCTGCTGGGGTTGTAATAAGTGCAATAGTGCCGAATTTTGAAATAGCCCTCGGGTCCACCAAGTAAGGAACATATGCTCTGTAGTCCACATCGCTTTAAGTAATCTAACTTTCCGCAGGAGAAGGAAGCTCAGGGGTGGGTGTAAAAGCGGAATCGAAATGATCAACGCAACCCGGGTATTTCCTGAGCTATAAGATTGGGATTTTGTAAAAGGGCAGCTACTGTTGCCCCAAAGGTGTCGCCCAACCCCATTTCCCTTAAAGAATGAAACCCCAGTTCTCATTTAGTAGGGTTGTTGTGTCGATGACGAAAGGTTGTCGGAAAAGCCTTTGGCCATTTGTCGATTTTT